GTTTAATCTTTAAAAACAAAATTTTTAGACAGATTATTTGCTGCTTTTATCTTTCTGCTGGAATTATTCTGCTTGTCATTTTAACATGTAAATTTATAAAACTTTTTTTTTTACGCATTCCTGGTTATGACTGATTGTTAGCAGAAAGAAATCGGTAAACAAATTGATGACTCTGTTGTAAGTTGAAGTAGCAGAAAATAATTACTGTGTGAAAAATTTTATGATAATGACTAAAAGTTTTTAGTTTGGTAACAAAAAAAGAGTTGAAAAAAAAAACTAAAGTCTGTTGTTTTGCTTTAATGCTCAACTGACTTTGGTTTTTTTATTGTTGCTGTTTTTACTGAATACTCAAAACTGTTATCGATATGCTGTTCTGATCAAACATCGATAAAAATTGATGAACTCAAATGTAAAAATATATGTTCTGTTGTGAAGTGATTTTTGTTGTGTAATAATTTCATCACCACGGTGCTCGTCAACTGGTCAGATAGTCTTTTTTTCAGTATTCTACTTTGATGACATATCAGAACAGATTTGCTTCGAAGAATTCTAGATCAATTACAGCAATACTAAACTTGGCTATAAACCGCTTAACACTCTCCGTTTCTCTTTCACCAAACAGTAAATGATGGTAGAAGCAAAATATTTTCTTTCACTTCCATCACTTCATGGACACTATAAAATTATGCTAGAAACAATAGTTTTTGTTGATATGTTGCAGAAAAAAATGCTAATATGCTGTTTGATCAAACTTAGTCTTAACTGCTCGAAGACATTGATAGGAGTAAAAGAAAGTGGACAGTAGGTCAAAAGATATGACAAAGTGCGGATAATTTGAAAACTCTTTTTGACATCTTTCCTTCTTTTTTCTCTTCAGTTTTTTCTTCTTTTTCTTTTTTTTCTAATTGCTATTTTGATCAGACAAGTTTTTTTAGTGTTTTTTTCTTTTAATAATAGCATAAAATTAAAATTAACTTCCAATTTTCTTTTTTTTTTTTGTTCATCTTATTGCTGCTGTTGCTGCTCCTTTTTGTTGTTTTATATCTTTCTTGACAATCAAAAACAATTAGCTTGTCATTTCAAACTTTTTTCCTGTTTTTTTTAAATTACTTTTTTTAAAATAAAAGAAAAAAAGCTGATTCCCAAATGCAATTAAGAAATAAGGGATATCAAAGATCAAAAAAACCTCCCCTTATGGCTGCGTAAGGCGATATTTTTATCTACGAAAACAACTGAAGAACCAAAAGTAGCCATATAGCTGAAAAAAAAATTGGTTGATGACAAATACAAATTTTCTTATTTTATCGCTTTTTTTAACGCTAAATATTTAATGCAAAAATATGTTGGCTTAAAGTGAAAGAAAAAAAAAAAGAAAAACAGAAGTAGAGATTTGGTTGAAAAATATTTAACAAGAAAATTAAAGCGTGTTCAAAATGAATCTGAAGAAAAATCTGATACAGATACGACCTAAATTTTAGCTTCTTTTTCGCTTGTCAAACTATGGCTGCGGTTTGCTGTATCGCTGTTGTTTATAGGTTTAAAAATAGTATTTTTAACAACAAATTTACGAATGCTTTAGCTGATAACTAACAACAAAAATAAACTGTTTACTCTTGATTACTAATGCCAAAAAAAAAAA